CCGGCTGATGCGTTTTTTTTTAAGACGGATCGCGCAAAGCCCCGCAGATGAGAGACGTCATATCTGCTCCCTCAGTTGTTAGCCGTATAGCTCATCATGTCAAGCGCCTTGTTGTTTTGTTTAACAGGCTTATGGGGCTGCCAACCAAGCCACTGACAATTTGTCTTTGAAATTTGTGACAAGCAGCACTTTGCATCTCTCATTTTTAGACGCTGTTGGAGTGCCTCGGCCTCTCTCGGCGCTTGCAGTCATCGTCATTTCCCACTGTGATGTATGTATGGATTTGCGGAAGCCATTCTGACAGTCAGCGGCACAACCGTACACATCTCCGCTCAACAAAACAACGCGTCAACTTTTTTACAACCTGTGGATGTGAAAGCTATCAGACACAGGCCACCACCTCTTTTGGTTGTATTTTATTGAAATATTTAACAATGCGCTCACATTATTTTTTTTTGATCAATCCTCGCTCGGGACTTCACTCCGGCCGTTTTGTGTCCATTACCAAGGCCACCAAGCACAACAGTAAAAGCCGAGTTCACGCGGTCCGCTGCGCATATTGCTACTGTGCTGGTCGCTTTCTTCTCGACAGTGTGATTCACCGGGAAGTCGAAAGTGAGAGAACTGGTGAAGAGAACAATTGGAAATGGAAGCCAAGTGAGGCCGGTAGAGGCAGAGTAAAGGATTCAAATCTCCAAGAAAGCATCTTTTTACTGCAGTAGGAGGGGAAGTTGGCCAGCTTTTCCTTGTAATCCGCCGGATGTTGCTGCGCCACGGTCGCCCTTGCCCGGATGGATAGACGGCGCCATTTCATAAAACCAAAGCACCTAGCAACATGGATTACAGGCGGGTCATTCAGCTCCCTGCAGAACGAGTTCTCCAGAGTTTCAATTCTCTAGTCTGAGCCCCTTTTTCAGCCTAAGACATCTACTTGCTTGTCGAAGTTATGCTCCAACGGGTTTTCCAGACCCGTGTTGTTTGGCTTCCTTTTGAATGACTTTGCAGAGTCTATATTTACATCCATCTCAATGACCATTCCCAGACAAAGTCACACGCTGATGGCGAAGGCCGCCATGCAAGGTGCCAACCGCAGCATCAGGAGCATGTAACGGCTCATCGAGCTCAAGGACACTCGGCGTGATCGCTGAGGAAGATCTCACTGGTAAGCGGCCAATTCGAAAAGGCCACTCTACCGCTTGAGACGTGCCATCGGTGTACAAGAACAAATCATACCATTATTAGTCCAAAGTATTTGTGATGTGATGTGGATCCGATAGAGAATTTCTGTCTCCCCCACACCCCCTCACGCACCGCCTCCCCTCGGTCTCCCTCGGGGAGCCATTGACTGCCCGTGTGTATGACAGAGCGTAACGCGTTATTTCCACATGGTTAAAACTGTGTCCGGAACAATGAGATAAATTACAAAGAAGCGTGGTGAAAATGCCATTCTCTACCTCAACCGGTAATGTTAATCCTTTTTGAATGAGGCTTAAGAGAATGAATGAAATTGGATAGATTCGTGATAATGGAGTGCACTCAAGCAAGTTTCGAGTGCCTGCAATTTGATTTTCATACCGAATTAGAGGGAAAGCAAAGAATGATTCGGAGGAAAGAAATTCATCTCTGCAAGATGTAACATATGAGATGCTTTTGAAAATATGACGTTAAGCAACAATTAAAAAAAAAAAATACACATGAAAGACAAGCAAAATATGCATGTTGTGAAAATTGCACTGGAGGTTGATTTTCATTTTGCCTTGATAGCAGTTAAAATCTGAGTCACGGTGATTACAACTCACATTGAAATTAGGAAAATGTGCTGAATGTAAAAGGTTAGCATGACAGATGATTTTCTGCACCTCGAAAGTCAAAGTGTGCTGCTTCCACATGAGGGGCCGGTCTTAATAGTTTCCTTGGAGACAGCAAGTAGCCGCATGAGTTCAGGCTCTGACGTCCGCGCTCTCTTCATTACCAGAGATCTTGACATTCTCTGCAGAAGAGAACAGAGACCGCAACGCTCTCCGCTGACTCTTTTTTGCCTCCAAAAGCTTTCTGGGTGATATGGAGATCTAGGAACAGCTTATTTATTATCCTTTTGGTTTTTGACATCAGAGTCAACATATTTATTGTCTCTACCATTACGTGTGCAGATCTTGTATTTTTATGCTTTATTGTTGCCAGAGTAAAAAAATGTCCTTCTGCACTTGGATTGTGCATCCACCTCGGAGACTGACTGGATCCATTAGTGGCAAAGTACAGAATTTTCGGGGCCCAAAATAAGCACTGCAATCGTCTTTATTAGAGCAGATGTATTTGTTGGCCGGGCGCATGAAACTGAAGTCATGCAGCCACAATCGGAAAGACAATTTAAACGGAGGTTAGCCTTATGCATGTTTTAATATTTAATTAGGATTGTCAAAAAATACTTCATGCGACATTTACTATCCACTTTCATCCAGTTGTGTTACTCCAATTTGGTTGTTCAAGCCCTCTGTCATTCTTTGGCTGAACGGTCATCAGTGGATAGGAAAATTTGGATGGGACTCAATTCAATGGGCTGTTGTAATGTCATATTTCATGAATTTCTGGTTCCTCCTCCTTGACAGAATCCCTCCATTTTTCCAACCGTGTGGATATTGCAGCTCTATCTTAGTCCCCATTGGCTCAATTTCAAGCTCTTGTTTTGATCTTCCCATGAAATGTCTCTCAATTTTCAGGAAACCAGGCGAAGCATTCCAACTCTGACCTTTGGCTGTCAGTCAATAAAATTAATCTCCTTCCATATGTGTGTGTGGGGGTGGGGGGCTGGCGGAGGATAAATTAAAGCATAATTTGCTGCAGCACATTTGCTCGAAACGACTCAGTGTTGAGAGCTCAGTCTCGCTTGTCCATCTATCCGTCCATTTTCTATGCTGCGTCTATTCGGACTGACTTTGGGTGAGAGAGCGAGTTCACATCATCAGTCACTCGCAGTGCAATCCCAAATGGGGGATTGACTGGGAGTTGTCAGGTATTCTAGAGCAGGAATCATCAACTCCGGTCCTTGAGGGCCTGTTTTGATGTCTCCCTCCTCCAACGCACCTGATTCAAATGATCAGCTCATCAGTAAAGGCTACAAAAGCCTGAAAATGAGATGAGAATGTAGTTACAACTTGGCACAGTAGCACAAATGTGAGCAAGTGGACGTTGGGACTTTGAAATTGCTGTGTTGTGAGCGGTATGCTTGGGGGGGAGGACTTAAAGTTTGTATCTGGCACCATCTAGTGGCAGTAATTGGAACGCGCCCACGACACAATTAAAAACTGTCATTTAAGAGCTCCTTTAAAATGTAAAGGATCTCTTTTAACAAGAAAAGTATTTAAAGTTTAAATACTTAATTGCTTTGGTGTCAAAGGACCGAAAAAACGACATGACATTACTTTAGGAAAAATTCCAGCTGCGCAATGGGCTATTTTTATTGATTTATTATTATTGGGCACTCATCACTCGAACTGCTCGGTGTTACAGTTCCACTTGATGACTTTAGAGGTCAGTAGATCCTTAGGAATCTTCTTTGCTGGCAGCACCAAGGCAAAACGGCACCTGAGGCGTCTGAAAAAAAAACGGGTATGGAAAACTACGTCATTACAAATGCAAAGCTGACTTGGTTAATCACGTAATAGTTTGTGCTCCGTCTAGCAAATCAGGCGTTCGCCGCATTTCTCGACACGAAATCTCCACGCAGGTCATTTACGGTGTTGAAAGCACAGTGCGAATGTTGTGTTTTGACTTGACCCCGGTGCCTCCTGAACCAAGAAAGCGTATTCAATAGAACTTGCCACATGAGAGAGGCCGTGTGTTTTCGTCAAATAAATGTCAACAATACATATTTTACATTCGCATTGCTGATGCCCTGCGAAACTTGCAAGGATTCATCAGATGATGTACTGGCCTCAACTTTTATGCTTCTTCCTAAGAACAACAGATTGTAACTCAACAGTATCGCTTCTGAAAAATAGATCATGTATACGACTGGATTAACTATTTCTGGAGGGTTTTTTTGTTTGTTTGTTTGTTTTTTTGTCTAAGTCTCATAGCCACGTGTCTGTTTGGGTATGGCCGAGTGACCCAAATAATTAAAATGGAAACCAAAACTATGCAGACCTACAGGAACTCATGCCAGTGAGTCACTGGCATTCACTTAGGTGATCAGACTCAACTCTGTATGATGTATCAAAGCTTTGCCTTTACAAAAAAATAAATGCCATTTTTGCTGTTCTTATGGTGCGGTATAATAATACAGCACTGTACCAGCTGCAACCCCAATGCTATGCACACTGTAAATTCAGTCCTCTTCTGTCACTGTCACTGGGTACATCTTTTCGTTGGAGCTCGTTAGATTGTGCATGTACATCTCGGGGTAACTGGGAGATATTTGATAAATTACAGATAACAATCCATCTCAAACGTTTTCAATTTACAAAATCTCTCAGCGTGTCACTCAGCTCCATCCTCATTCCTGCATGGACAAATAAAGAAACTCAGCCAGTATGAACAAACTGCTGAGACTCCCCTATGTATTATTGTGTGTATGCCAGTACAGCGCACTTATGCAAACTGGACTGAAACTGTAGCAAGTTGCGCATTTTTTGAGAAATCCGAAATTTTTCCTGAATGTTTCATACTTGCGTTGTTCATGAGATCAACATCCTGAACACCAACGAGCTCGACACTCAAGCGAAACTGTCCATGCAGTGAATGTGCACATGAGTGTGACTGGAGTGTTTTCTTAAACGTGCCCTGCGATTAGCTCTCGGCCAGTCCAGAGTGAATTGGCCTCTCGCCCAAAGTCAGCCGGAATAGGCAGCAGCTCACCGGCGATCCCAATGAGAATGACCCCTGCAGAAAGTGCGAGGATGGATAAAACGGTGCGCTTCGTGAGCGCCTCGGCTGCATCGCCTTACATCAGCAAGCCTCCATTTCCGAATCTATGTCAACTTGCACTTAATTGTTTGTGTTTTTGTGTGTCAGATTCCTCCCACATTCCAAGAAACATGTTTGTTTGGATCATTAAAGACTAATTGCTTGTACGTGGGAAGGTGAGTTGGATTGTTGTTCTGTCTCGACGCGTTCGCCCGGTGCGCCGAATAGGATCGGGGCTCTGGGGAAGATGGATGGAAAATAAAACAGGAGCCTGAGAGAAGGCTGTGACATCTTCGGCCTTTTTCCTGACACCTCGTCTGACCCAGGAAGTGCAAAGTACAACAGGTAGGTGGAGAAAGACAAAAGAGAGAGAGAGAGAGAGAGAGAGAGAGAGAGAGAGAGAGAGGAGGAGGAAGTAATGAGAAAGTTATTGCTGTCATTGTCTTGTCGCCAAAGACGGCCCGCCGCGTAGTTTCATCGTCTGACCTCCCGACTTTCTTCATGAAACCGTGCCTCTCGAGGTAAGACCGCATTCAGGAGACCTTTTAAGTTCGTGTCAACAGCGAGGAGGCGCTTTTACTTCAGCTTGTTACTGGAAATGGAGTTAGAAATGATCATTGTTGGCCGTCAGCCATACGGAAGATCATTTGACAGTTGTGTGGAAAGAGGAAATAAACGCCGTTGCCCTTCACCAACATCACAAGGCGCAGGTTATCAGCGTTCCGTAACTTGCCAAACAAAACATTGGCTAACGCGCATGACATACTGTGTATGCATATTTACTCTACATTCACCGTTCGTGACAAGCATAGTGCCGTCGCGTAGCTTTTGAATAATCTTACAAAATGTTCTCATGAGAATTTGATAGAAAATCATAAAATGTGTCACGAGACCCGGTAGTTTACTTACTCCAGTGCCAAGCAAAATCTGCTTTTTTTGTCCAAAGTCAGATGCGAAAGGTTCCAGCTTCTGACAGAAAATGTTCGAGAAATGCATGGGTAGATGGATCATTAAAAAAAACATTTTATTCATGATTTTATTATTTTATTTTGAATGGGACAGTACAGTATCATGAGTGCACCTGTGCCAGAGCAACAGCTCTCTACCAAAAATGGAATGTTAAAAGAAAGCACTGCACAATGAAAAATCATACAAATAAAACATGTTGTCGTCCTTGCATTGGGGTTTGTGGGTTAGGGTGGGGCATCGAAAATGACATTGATGCAAACTCCAGGGCATTACGTTTTCGAGAAAATTTTGGTCAGAATCGGTTGAATATGAAATCCGTGTTTTGAAACGGTGACCAACTTGAAACAAACCTCATTAGCGCACAATGTGTGCAATCAGCTTCAATACGAACTCCACTTTTGTAACCTACCGGCGCATTCCTTTCATTAATCCGATTACACTCAGGCCCTTACTGTAAACCCCACGTTTTTTTTAATTGGGGGTGGGGGGCGTTGTTTTCAAACATAGCCGGTTTTCAAACATAACCATTGTTATGTCACTCAGTGTATATTTTCCAAGAGGAAACCTAAAGCGAATTGTCACAGGGCGTTCGGACTGTTCGCTGCTGATCTGTACAAACACCGTTAACCCTGCAATTGGCCCACCCAGGTGAAAACACCGCTCGAATGAGCCTTATGAAAACCTTTCTTTCAGACCAAAATGCCACATCGACAAAAGAGAAGTCCCCACCTCACTTAGATCAACCCCAGAGAGAAAATGACGGTGGAAATGGAAAATGAATGACGTGAAATCAGGACTTTATAAGGGTGAACACGTTGTAAACGGGATGCGTTGAAACGAGGTTCGACGGTAGCAATTGATTTGAAAAGTCATGACCCCTGATTGTCGCTATTCCACTGAAATATTTGGGGGACTTTGTTGTCAAGAGCATTTATTGGCTGTTTCACTTTGCTCATCGTACCACTTTGCCTCAGTGGTGTGCTCGTTGTCTCATGAATTTCATTTGGTCTCATCAGCCAATGTCCACCTGAATTAGCCAGACGCATTCTTTCTTGGTCGTCCCAAATTCCGCGTGTGTGTGTGTGTGTGTGTTTCTTTCAGAGCATCCTGTTTTTGTTCACTTCTCATTCACAACTTCTGTGTTCCAGAGCTCAGTATAATGTGTGATTTCTTCTTTTTTGACTCCGGTTTTTACCTCCCTCTCTCTTCATACGAAATCTAGCTTTTAAGGTTTCCTGTCTAGCTGCTCATTTATCAGCAGTTGAGTTCATCCGCCGCCACAATTTCCTCTTTACTCTTTGAGCTTCAAATGCAATAGTGACAACAATATTTGGTCCAAATTTTACTGGTTGCTGGCTTGTATTAAAAGTTGTTCAGATGATGGATGGTTTATTTACACATTTGATGAATTCTTTGAAAGGGTTAAAAAAAATTAATGGAAATTATTACAAATCACTACAGAATATGTGTGATTTCTATGTAATCTGTTTCTTAAGAGTTCACAATTGTTTGACAGTGCCGGGGTTATATAAAACTTGCACCGGCCATCATTTTTGCCACTCGTCTTGGATATAAAATCCTATTACAGAACTTTTCTTATGATTTTGGACTAAAATCTCATGAGACAAACTCGATATATTGGTAACTGTATGTTTTGTCCAATGACAGATATTGTATCTTAGCTCGAGGATAAATTTGCACCATTTATTTATATCGGTATAAAATGAAATTGTTGAAGCTGGAGATTGCTACACAGTAGAATCTTATGAAGCCACAACTTCTCCTTTATTAGGGCACTTCATCCAAATATGTGCTTGTCGTTGCCACTTTATAGTCTTGCCTCTGGGATGATGCATGAATATGTTACCGAGAATGTTTCCTCTATTCTCAAACAGGGTGATTGGGTAAGCAACATTTTTTTTTTTTTTGCCAATCCTTCTTAACTGGGATCAAGGGTTTTTGTGATGGATTTGTGAGCTAAAAACACGCACAAACGCCGAAGGACCCACAGAGCGCAGAAAGCTGGAGCCTGGACTGAGAGCTCTGCACAAATTTATAAGCCATATACGGTAAAGAACTTTTCGACTGAGTATAAGGAGGACTGCGCTGAGACTATTCGACAGTGTGTAACTTTCGGGTCTCTCGACAGGAGCGCTTTTTGTGGAAAATGCAGTTCCGGTAATATCCATTCAAGGTGTGATTGATGGTAAAGGGGAAACTGCTGTGCCTCATCCTGACTTCCGCCTAGTCAAGTTGCGTCTCGTTGAAAGATGTCAGCCAGCAGCAGCATCATCAGTTCAGGGAGAGGAAGCCGTGCCTCCAAAGTGGCAAAAGATCACAAAAAGGTGAGGGCATCACGCTGACATTTATTCTTCAAGGTTTTGCAGGGTGTGTACATGAAGCTAACTTTGCGTCTCGTCCAGCCCAAGTTAGGAACAAACAAATATTGGATGTCGTTATGTGCGGCAAATGTTGTGCTGTAAATAAATGTTTTTTGTTTAATTTCCTGAACAAAACGCATTGTGGTCTGAAATGTAATGATATCAATTGCAATGATTTTGTGTTGTTTTGTGTCACGGATTCTGAGATATTTTTGGAGAGCCGAACAACATAAAATCCGATCAATGAGAAAAGATCTCATCTATACGTAAAGCGTTCCATATATAAAATTGTTACAATCGACTAATCGAGTAGTTAGTTCAAAACAAGCGCAATGAAATTGACTGCCTTCCGTTTCAGACAAAAAAGAGAAAGATTCTATGCCATATTTTGTTGAACGGGAAAAATTGGAGATGCTGCTTTTTACCAATAACAAAAAAAAAAAACCCCTGAGAAGTGCAATACCTGAATAACATGTCAATAATTGCTAGTTGTTGTTTTTTTTTTTCTTTCAAATGAAAAAGTACAGTCATTTAAATGTAAACTAACATATTGATCCTAGCATTGTTGTTTTGTTTTTGTTTTTTGTTTTTGTTTGTTTTTTCAGCCAACACCAGATGCCCTGAAAGGAGCCATCCAGCTGGCCATCGGTTACGCTGTGGGAAACCTGAGCTCCAAACCTGACAGAGATGTTCTCATGCAAGATTTCTCTGTAGTAGAGAGTGTCTTCTTGCCAAGGTACTTTTATTTCAACTCAACTGCACGAAACCAAGGAATCATTCATTTGTCTCTATTCTCATTCTTGGAACTCGCAGGGCTGGGCATTCGGTCCACAATCTCTGCAGGCCTAACAAAACTAACCTCATCACACAGCTGCTTCACAATTCCATTTTGTTTTTTTGTTCTGCAGCGAGGGCAGCAACTTGACTCCGGCGCACCATTTTCCCGACTTCCGTCTGAAAACATATGCACCCTTGGCATTCCGCTACTTTCGGGAACTCTTTGGCATCAAACCAGATGACTACCTAGTAAGTTACTGGATTCATTTTGCAACCCTGAGCCAGGAGCGAAGAGCCTGATCATCGTTATTCGATGACCACACAGTGTTGAGCTCAGGCTACATTGTAATTATTGTGCTTTTCAGTACTCCATCTGCAATGAGCCTCTCATCGAGCTGTCCAACCCCGGCGCCAGCAGTTCTTGGTTCTACCTTACCGGTGATGATGAGTTCATCATTAAGACTGTGCAACTGAAAGAGGCGGAGTTTCTGCAAAAACTGCTTCCTGGCTACTACATGGTGAATCTGATTATATTACTTGTCTTTTGATGTTCTATCCTTCCGCATATCGGGGACGGATAGATGGATGGAGACTCCTTTCTTCATCCCCGATTGAAACTTTTTGCTCCGACATCCGCAGAACCTGAACCAAAACCCGAGGACTTTGCTGCCCAAGTTCTACGGCCTTTACTGCATCCAGTGTGGTGGCGTCACGCTCCGTGTGGTGGTGATGAACAATGTGTTGCCCCGCGCCATGAATATGAACTACAAATACGACTTGAAGGGCTCCTCGTACAAACGTCGAGCTTCACGCAAGGAGCGCACAAAGTCTTCGCCGACATTCAAAGACTTGGATTTCCAAGAGATGCATGGAGGCTTGTGCTTTGATGCGGAGACCCACAGCGCCCTGATGAGGACTCTGCAGAGAGACTGCCGGGTGTGTAACGCGATGATTTCTTCTTCTTTTTTTTTTTTAACCTATAATCATCGCGGGTCAATATAGCATTTTGTCCATGCGTAGAAAGAAGCAGCTGGAATGAGACTTAAAATAGGATCACAAACAATGAAGAATATAAATAAGTTCTAATTCTAATGTTGTGTCTGGGCTGCTGATATATGCGTTGCTCATCATAATAATCATATAATAACTATTAATATGATTATTATAAATAAAGTTTGCGCAAGGTACAGCAGATTAATAAAGCCTCTCTTGCCAACATTTAACGATCTCATCCACAAAAGTTGCACCACACCAGGGAAACCAAAAGGCTGCATACAGCTCAAGAATTGAATGTTGTCAGATGAGCAGCCTGGACTGTGCAGCACAAACTGACTTATCCGACCTCAATGTATTAGGTAACGGCTCTCAGCTCAAGGAAGTCTTTGTTTTCTAGCACAGGATTTCTTTGTGACATTATGAGGTGCCCTGACGGATGGAGGCTTGTTGTACAAAACTGTACTTTGCTATGTCGTTGCTTCATAAGTTCCCTTAATTTGGACCTGATCTTGGACTGGAGAGGAACAGTTTAAGGATTACTTAAAGGTCTGCCAGTCATGCATTTTATTCTGACTCACATAATTGTGTAATTATGTCACCTTATCAGCAGAATCATTATTTTCTTATTGGAATCTATTCTGGGTGACTTTGGATGAGAGGCAGGGTACACACTGAGCTGGTGGCCAGCCAAATGTGGCGCACTTATAGCCATTCACATTGACAACAGCGGGCAATTTCATCTTCACTGAATCTAACGTGTATGTTTTGGGGACGTGGGAGAAAGGAGTACCTGAGGAAAATCAGGATTTCAAACCCAAACCTGAGAACTGTGAGGCAGATGGACTCAGCGCGAACTCACCGTGCTGCCCTTCACTGTCAAGAAATGCCACAGTCTTTAACTGCTGAATATCCCTTTTAGGTTCTGGAGAGCTTCAAGATCATGGACTACAGCCTCCTGCTGGGAATCCACGTTTTAGACCACAAGGTGTCAGGCAGAGAGAGCAGACGTGACAGCAGGAAGCAGAAAGTTCTCTACTCCACTGCCCTCGAATCCATCCGGGGGACAATGAAGGACCCAGAACCCGTGGCAGATGATGATGACACGTGAGGCAAACTGTTGTCATTCCGTTCTTAGAAACACATCAACAGAGAGGAACCTGGATTGAATGGACCTGGAGGCAAAGAATCCTAGTTTCAACAGACTGAAAATTGTGTCCAGTCAGCTACCCTTTCGAAAGTAGCAAAGTCTGTTCGTTCCAGAATTCACTGCGATTGGCTGCAATGTGCTAGAGCGCCGGTAAATGGCACGGTGCTTTCCATCGCCGTAAGCAGGTTTTTATTTCGGCTAGGGAAAAAAGTACAAAACAATAATGTTGTACTGTGTTCGTTTTTAGGCCATGAAAATAAGTCTAGCAGCTCTACCGGACAAGCGTTTCCTCCAATGAGTCCATTACATCGAGGTTCCTATGTCTCTTAACCTTCGGAGCATCCTTGCGGAAATTATGTGGGTTCATTTTGCAAACGTGTTCATTTCAGATTGGGTGGAATTCCGGCCAAGCATAAAGACGAAAACCTGCTCATCTTTTTGGGAATTATTGACATCCTTCAGTCCTACAGGTTCACAGTGGCTCTCTTGAACACACTGTCAATCCCGCGTCGGGTGTGTTCTATGTGGATGATGTCATACACGTACATGTTCATTTCGTTTTCAGGTTCATTAAGAAGGTGGAACATTCGTGGAAATCACTTTTACATGATGGGGTATGTGCCCTCCCGTATTTCGTATCTTGTGTGTGTGGAGGTCCTGGCGGTTGGGGAACAGGGGGGATATTTAGCGAGAGAGAGAGAGAGAGACTGACTGGTTTATTTGCTTTTCAGGACACAGTGTCAGTTCACAGGCCCAATTTCTATGCGGACAGATTTCTGAAATTCATGGGCTCGGTTGTATTCAGACGCATCCATCGTAAGTTGTTTCCCTCTCATGTTATGTCAAGTCTTGAGAAAGAAATTAGCTTTTCTGAAACACACTTGCGCTGTTTTTTTGTTTCACAGCTTTGAGAAAAGCATCTTCCAAGAGGAAGAAGAATTCTTTCAATGCAGTCAAGTCAGCCTCCCAGGAGTTACTTTGTCCTCAAAAGCAGAATGGGGAGAAGAAGAAAGCGCAGAGCATGGACAACCTCGATGGTAACGATAAGTCTTACGAAAAACAGTGGAGTGGCAACCAACACTCTTTCATGCTCTCTTGTTCGTCATTGACAATTTTTCTGCCGGTGACATCACACACCATACCAACAACAAGAACACAAATCATCGATGATTCGCTGTCACCACGATGATTGAGTGATATGTTGGCTTCTTCCGTCAGTGTGCAGTTCATCCGAGCAACCGGATCTTCTACCGAAATCCGCTGTTACTTTCAAGTCTACTGAAGAAGAAGAGCGCCTTGATAGCAGGTATGTACCCGCCACCCTTTGTGGTCTCTAAACTACAAAATGGACATGGTTCCTCTTTGCTTTGGAGAAAAAATATGCGCGTGCAAACATAGTGCACGTGTTTCGGACCTCCTCGATCCCTTCCAATGCAGTAAAATTCCACTTTAGTTTTTGGGATGACACATTCGCTCTCGCTTTGACCTGCATTTCTTAATGCTGCAGTGAGCACAGACGCGGCTCCAGTTCGACACTGGCGCTGGACGATCCTCTGCCGTCCCACAGCAGAAGTCTGTCCGTCCCGGAACTGGATGTCTACTTGGTATGAACAACCTGCAAACATGGTAACCGGATGCGTGACATTCCAGTTTTTTCCGGTCTTTATTTCAGTGGACAACACGCCAAACATCGAACAAAGATCTTAATTAGTTCCAAATAATTCCAGTCACCACGTGAAACACAAGGTAAACTTTTAGCACAACAAAAAGCATGATAGTTCGGAAACTACAGTGAATATGAAATACTGTACAACCTTTCAACCGAAAGTTAATATAAACAGAAAGTCATCTTCAATTGCAAATTCAAATGAATCTCGTATAAACTGAACTGCAAATATGGCAAAAATAATGGCTGTTATTGCTGTACATCCTTTTAATAGTAGGTGGCAACCGTGTTGCCATGCATAATATTAATAACCTGTAAAAAGACACACAAATCCCCCTCCCCCCATTCTCCAGACACCTCTCGGGATCAATTTGGGACCAGTCTGCGATCGACGTATTAGGAAGCACTCAGCTCAAGGATCTCCAAGAAAATTGTAATCCCTAACTTTGATTTAGCTTCCTCCAAGCCTAACATGGTTCTCGGGAACTTCCCTGTTTCATTGCGTGTTTTCCACCCTCTTAAATCTTGGCGGATTGACTCCGCTGAGCCTGGAACCTCTGCTCCCACTCACTATTTGAGCATGTGTCAGCTCAACTCCAAGTTGCCCGAATTGAGATTTTCCTACACTCCTTCTCTTACATAACCGCTAAATCCTCATTCAGGCTTACATGAAGCGGTTTGTCAGGGCGTTTTAACTACCGGTATATAACGTGGAAAGCCTGGAGACGTTGGGAGTAATCCTCTCTCAAATACTGACCGAAAATGGTGACATTCAAAGGAAATTCATTAACTTAATTTAGAAACGGCGTAGCACAGTGGTGTGGAATGCCTTTTCATTCAAGGACGGCATCATGAATGAGGAGAGACTCAGTCAAATGAAAAATACCCATCGTGAACAAATTTGCCAACCGACTACTTTGAATGTGTGCGCTACGTATGTGCACGTAAATTATTTTGGGGTCAAGGTGTATTTGAGGACGGGTTATGTACACTGTTGGAGCGACAGTCCCTTCGCAAGCATTTTACACTTGACATGGATGCATGCATTGTAAAAGGTTCAGGTCTGAGTTTCCTTCTCTTTCAACTCACATCTGAGCTAAAAACGAGCATGAATCTCAACAAAGATTGTCAGACTCACTGAATAAGATCAGGAGGGCCCAGACAAAACTGCGGCGCCAGGCATCAAATTGGTTGCACGCTTTCATTTTTGCTCCCAAGCCACTGCCCCTCCCTCCCCCCCATACCCTCTTCCCCCCTCCACCCCCACACGTCCATAAAACACATGGCAAACAAACAGGAAGGCAGATGACTGCAACTGTCAGATGGAGTAAAAGGGAAATTTTTTTTGGTTCAGATGAGCTAACCAAAGCTCTTGGGTGAACTTTAACTTGTGTGCCCTTTTTTGGGGGGTTTTGTTTTGTTTTTAATCTTCACCTGTGTCTAGTTTGGCTTGCATACGTGTTTGAATTCTTTGCAAACCTCTGTTCCAAAGAGTAGTCATCTTTAAGGGGTTGAATTATTTTGCCAGTGCGCAAATCGCAAAATGGACATTTTCTTTGGTGCATTACACAAAATACTCTTGTAATTCTAATTGCGTGTCTGTATTTGCAAGTTCTTATTTCGATCTGATTAGAATCAAGATGAAAAAATAAATGTCAAACTTCCTAAAACACTAAACCGCAATGGGAGGAGGGGGTTGAATAATTTTGAGCGCAACGAGGACACAATCAAGGATGGATTTTGAGACCTGAAAATGATTTTTTGTCAAGAAGACAATCGGTGGTCGTGTTTTATAGTGAGGAGACAAAGCTGGCGGATGCTCTCCAGGAAGCCATCTTGAGAAGACTCCACTGACCTCGCCCGCTGTCAATACCTTAAGACCTCCTAATGGCATGTGTGATGTGAACTACAGGTATCGATCGACATGCTCCAGACTGTTCATTTCCTTGAGAAGTGGCATCCTGTAGGACTTTCGCCACAACTTGGTTTTGCCGCAATACGTCATGTGATGCTGCTAATTTTACAAATGCTTTTATTTAATGCGTAAAGTTTCAAATTCTCTCAGCGGCTGGATCCCTGGGCAAATATTTTCTCAATATGTAATCATCTATCGTATCTAATTTATTTCTCAAACGTCTCAATGGTATTTGCTTACCATTATATTGTATCCAAACTGAACAGTTTGCAACAATATTAAAAGCTCTTGGTTTCATTTCACCCATTTTTGCATGTGCCTTAAAATGTTTTAAAATCAGATGTGATTTGTCGGTGTTATAGAAATACTGGGTTTCTTTCTGTGAAATGAAGTAAAACGTAAAATATGTCCAATTTTAGATCATTTTGGGGGCCTCTGTATAGATAGACATGAAAGAAAATGTATCAAAGGCCTTCAAACCTTTATAAAGAAAGCAGACATCAAATAATAAAATTTGTGAAACATGAATATGTTTTTAATGTGGTGTTTATTATTTTATCAAATCACAACAATCTTATTTTTTCTTATTTTTTCTTATTTCTCTTGAAGCACCCAAATTCACAATTTCAAATACTGTAGAGGGGAGTAGCGTGAATGTGATTTTAGATTCATTGAATAATATTTTTAGCACCGTAGTTGTTCGTTACGGATACTGCGAGGCTGAATCACATAATAATCCACTATGAGAGGGACGAAAAGTAGTTCATACTTCTCATGACACAAACGTTACTTTTCACTGCAAACTCTTGCACAACCACGAAGAGCAAACTATCGATGGATCTGTCCATTCACACACAAGGGATTCATTGAATAATATTTTTAGCACCGTTGTTGTTCGTTACGGAACTGCGAGGCTGAATAACATAATGATCCACTATGAGAGGGACGAAACGTAGTTCATACTTCTCATGACACAAATGTTACTTTCCACTGCAAACTCTTGCACAACCACGAAGAGCAAACTATGGATGAACCTGTCTATTCACACACAAGGGGGCGCACCATTAATGTGGTGAGCGTCACAGAGTATAAAGTAGGTACAGTGGATTTTTTTTTTCAGTTCGAGTCGTCGTGGACCAGTATAGACGAATTAGAGTGTTATCTCATCTTAAAAATAAGAAGAAAAAAACACGTCATTGCATGAACCATATCTATTTTTAGATAAGTGAAGCAGTGGTATTATGAGCGTTTGTCATCTTGATTGTTTCATGGAATGTGACGCCAGCACCAAGCATGTAAAGATTTAGGTTCATGGATGCAAGCAGATCACAAAATGAATGTTCAAATATTTTGCCCTCAAAAAGCACAAGCACGCATTGTTTATTTCCTTTTCAAACAATTGCCATATATGCGTACAGATATAAATAGAACACAGTCTCCGGATTCGTGACAGTTAGGCTGAGAAGGAAGTTGCACAGCGACAACAAAGGCAAAAATCTACATTTAAAAAAAATGTATCTGTGGACCAAGCGTTCACAAGTGTTCAGACTTTTCCACGATATCATCAGATGGATGAGGTAAATCAATACTGTACTCAAACGCTTTGACCTTTTGGATCAGTAAAACAAACAAAAAGTTAGTAGTGTCGAGTATTTGCCCTAAATCATAAAGTAATTCAATTTATGACTTTTTTTCGGCGTGTTATTTTGCCCATATGAATGACTCGTTCATGACGTCACCTGAGCCCAACAGAAACTTCTCTGCAAACACATCTGCCTTAAGACTATGGCTATGTGCTCCTTATTTGAAATTTTTGTTTAAAAATCCCCTGGCTTCCTTTTTTTTGTTTCTTTGTTTTTTTTTTTTGTTTAAATGTTTGTAATGTGTGCATGTATTAATAACGTGTTCGTTTTGTTTTCTGTTTACTGAGAATTGTATACTGACTTGTTCAATAAAGATTGTTTGAAAAAAAAACCCACACCTGCTTGTCACAGCTAGGCCACGCCCACATACCTGTGAGAAACAGGAAATGGCGGATATTTGGATCTGGTGAATCGAAACAACAGAGCAAACGTCTCGTTTTACGCTCACATTTTCAACTCTCTGCTACAAGTCCCCGGTGTTTGTTGGGGTGGGATTCATCTCTGGTGACACCGAAAAAAAGGAAAGTGACGACATTTTACCGGGTATGTACTTTTTGGCGCCTCGCGCGACATGTCGACATTGCATATGTGTGTCTTTGCTGACATGTTTGGACCTTGAACCGCTCCTCCCGGCTTTGCATCGATTAGTTCTAGTTTCAAAAGTTTGTTTGGGTAACTCCCTCTGTATTTTTCTTTGCAATCTAACTTTCCATTCCCTCCATTTTTTTTTTTAATTTTTATGTTCGATTGTTTGCTGTTACGCAATGTCACACGAGTCTACGGGCGTGACTAGTGTGTTTCTTTTTGTCTTTGGTTGGTGGCTTATGTTCATCACTTGAATGTGAAACCACTTTTCTTGTTTAAATTTTCACGTTTATAATGAGATAGTGAATATATCTCATGATTCCGTTTTCGTTATGTTTCCCTTCCCTTTAGTTCCTAGTTGTTACTCTACTACTACCGGTACTATTAGGCCAGTTACTACAAGCGTAAGTGAGCCATACCGCTAATTATCTGCTACCAGCTTCTCTATTACCATTATACACCAATATTAGTAGTGGTTACTTAGGCCACTTACTTCCAGAACAATTTTCTCAGAATTTCCATATTTTCAAATTTTCACGTTCATAATGAGATATATTCACTATCTCATGATACCGTTTTCGTTATGTTCCCCTTCCCTTTAGTTCCTAGTTGTTACACTACTACTACCGGTACTATTAGGCCAGTTACTACAAGCGTTAAGTGAGCCATACCGCTAATTATCTGCTACCAGCGTCTCTATTACCATTATACACCAATATTAGTCGTGGTTACTTAGGCCACTCACTTCCAGAACAATTTTCTCAGAATTTCCATATTTTTAAACTTATATCAAGAACATTACCATGGGACACTTATTGCCGTATGTTATGCAATAGGATAAAAATAATTCTGCATCCTGTTCAATTGCACAACATATGAAGACTTGCTTTTGTAGACTAGATCCTCTCTAAAAATAGCACGTTTGTAGTGTAAGCGGGGCACATCAGTGGGGATACGCTGAGAAGTACGGAAGCCACTAATAAATAAATACATCACTTTTTACTTTGTAAAAAAAAAAAAAATGTTGGTGCAGTACATTTGAATAAATCAAGTCTTCGCCGCACCCTATACAATGTACAGCATTAGGCTAGACCTGCATGACAATGGCACTTTGATTGGTCTGACTGAGAGGCAGCGCTTTCTACATTTCTCTTTGTTGTCTGAATATTGTTTGGGTCTGCATTGACTCGTGAGGGACACACCAGCTGGCGTCCATTGTTCATGCCTTGATGTCCTCTCAGTCATCATCTGCAACATTTTGCTTTTGATTTTTATTTCTTTATTTTTTTTCATAGAGACAGGACTTTTGGCCATGACAGCATCCCTTCCCTGCAAATTGTTACTATAATGTGTACCACCGTTTTTAATCAATCTGGTCGGTATTTCCCGATGATGCATGTTCCACCTGTGGTTGGATCATGCAAGTAATGACGATGGCTGCCTCGATTTCTGAACACAACATACACATCAGCGATTTGTGAGTGGCATTCGTGACCCCAGCTGGCCCGCACGTGCATTGCTTATGGACATTGCATAATGGCCTTGGGCCTTAGTAATAGCCTACTGGGAGAGAGAAACAAAATGGTTATGTAAAAGCATTAAGATGACCAAAAAGCCAAGCTACATTGTTGCTCTGAACGAATGGCAATGCGCTACGACAGATGAGCGGGAAAAAAAAGAGTTCAGTTTCAAAAGTGACAAAACCCAACCGCAGTGACCGCAGTCAAGAGAGGGATGTGCGGTCAGAGCCGGTCACAAACCTCACCGCACGTCGCAGGTCAAAGAGGCCTGGTTGTATGAGATGGAGCTCGTGTATGCTTGCCTCAAAAACCGTGGCCGCTGTCCACATGCAAATGAAAGACAGAGCGAAACGCACTGGCACGGCACTCACTTTGCAAATCTACGTCACGTCTTTAGAATGAGATAGATTTGATGAAAAATATGCACGTTTGTAGTTTCATGCAGCTCATAAACTGTTGTGTGATTTTGCGTCGACAGCTGCCCCACAGCCGCAAGCCACAGTGTTCAATCGACAAATAACAACAAACCACTGTTTATTCCACAGGCAACACATCATCCTTCTGTTAGATTACGTCAGTTGCTTCAGACCTTGGGCTAACTTGCAGCTGGTTTACGACAGAAACAATGCTAAATATTGACAATCCACTTTGTGTTTCTTATTAAATTCAGTGTTGGCACTTGGAATCCTTCTCCTGGACTTTCCCATACCTCTGTGAATTTATTCATATTTTATAAAGGTATGATTCGACACTGTCTATTGTCAACAAAGCGCAGCATCAAATCCATATTTGTTTAACAAATATCATACGATATGAAGAATACTGTGATTTGACGAAAACTAGTGTGACTAGGTTAGAGATGATTGACATCTGGTGGTCATGTGTTCCTCCACGTGGCATTTGTAAATCACCCCAACCACGTACCGACCCTGGCAAATATTGCACTGGATCTCTTTTTTTTTTTTTTTCTGTCTCCTGTTGTGTTCTTGTTACCCAATCGTTTTTAAAAATAGCTCCTTGTTATTTTCCCTGCCCTCACCCCCGCTGGGCTCGTAGTACGGGAATGCACACGGATTTCTGAAAGCTGCAGTAGCTTCCATGGCCCTGCCATCGTGACATCCGAGCAAACGGCAACTTCCTGGCCAGAGTTTGCAATGGCTAACGACAGCTCATCAAGAGGATATCATTTGTTAACGTCAACTCTCCCCGGGCAGACTGGCCTTCAGTCAGCTGCTGACCCAGGGACAAGTGACAGATTTGTTGTCTGATTGGCATTGATGACAGTGAATATGGAGCACAAAGAGGACTAGAATACACGTCAGCAGTCGGGCAGTGCCATGTCATCCATTCCAAGATCATACTATTTGCTTTGGACGTGTTTCAAAACTAAAATGTAACAATGATGAGGGCCTCGTGACTGACAAGTTCATGGATGTTTTTTTCTGTGCGTGTGCAAAACAATAATTCAAGCCACGTCTGAGAACAGAGCAGCGGCGTGTCTGTTTGTGAATGGCGGCCCCCATAAGCGAGTACATGAAGATGAGTGGACTTTTCAATAAAAAAGCTTTGTTGATGTAAGTAAAGAGAAGATGATAGAAATGGATGGGGAAAATATACAAAGTAAAAAAAAATCTGGACATTTGAGTTTCGTTCCTCTTCAAATTGATTTCGGGATGGTGTCTTAGAAGATGCATTCTCATTTTCAATATGACTTGGTAGTTTTGTTTTGTTTTTTTTCCTAAGCACATACGCTAAATACTCTTGAGGCAACAATGCGATTTCGATCTCTGTTTTTAAGCGGGTAGCGGAAATGCTTTTGTGTCGCTGACCTAAATCTGTTTGTGCACCAAACAGCAGAAAGGAGTACCCACCCTTCCTGGAGTCCTTGGAAGGGGGTGGGCTGCAGAGTGCTCCCTCTAGGGCAGGGGTCCCCAACCTTTTTTGCCCCGGCTGCAGAGTGCTCCCTCTAGGGGACTCCCTCCTTCTCTTGAATGGTTGTTTGTCCATATCTCCACCGTGACTGGCTGGCGACAATTTCAGGGTGTACTCTGCCTCTTGCCCCAAAGTCAGCTGGCATAGGCTCAAGCTTACCTGCGACCCTAGTGAGGATAAGCCGTATAGAAAATTAATTTGCCGGATGGATCACGTAACACCGTATAGCGTGTGCATAATTAAACGCAGCTCCATGCTCAAAAATCGCCATTGCGCTCCCAAAATGCTAACGTTGATCTGAAAATGTGTTTTGCGTGCTCATGTCATTCTCCGCGCATTCAATTGTGCAATTACAATTTCAATCACTCAAAGATTAGGTTTCTGTCCCGAGTTAACCCACTATGCCGGGCCGGCCCCGGCCGAAGCGTGTGCGTGGTTGCGAGTGTGAGGTAGTATGGTTCTGTCTGGGTATAAATGGTGAGAAGACTTAGCCCGGTTGAGGGATTAGAGGAGAAGGGGGCGGGGAGCATGCATGATCTGTCAAGGGCTTAATTCCACAGTTATCCCCAAGGCAGCAGCCGCTGTGACGGCAGAAGCCGTGTTTTCATTAGTCTAATATTCAGAGAAGCTCCACAATTATGTAAGAGTGACGTGCTGTCATCCTCTCTCGGCCGGCCCACCGCCTGGCAGGAACGTGGCCGTTTGTTTTCCTGTGATCCCGCATCGCAAGCCAAAAGGACATCTGTCAGACTGTGCGGCCGGGGACGGTAGTCGTAGTGGTCACGCCACGGCAACGTCATTGTTTTGTGGCTTCTTGGCATGGAGAGACCTGATGCATTCGAGCCGCAAGAATGAGTTTACAGTCTTTGCGATGCAGAAGAAGATGCCAAAACATGTGGAGATGATTCTGTTCTTTGTTCGAAAATGGGACGCTGCTCATCGATGATGCGGTCTGTGTGATGCTCTCTGCACTGGAGGACTTTTAGAAGATGAAGTTTAAGAAGTTCATTACGATAATGCAGGCAGCTATGGGGATCGTTCCCTTGAACAAACGTGAGCTTCTTCCGCCGGGCAGGAAACTGTGGAGACCACCTGGGTGAGTTCCAGTACTTTGTGTGTCCTTTGACAGGCAAGTAAATTGTGTGGACCGTAGCATAGCTAGGTTGCGCAAATGTTCAAAATCTGCCCAGAGGCTGATTTATTATTGACTTATGACTCATAATTATACTGATAACTAATATTTAGCGTTGAAGAAGACTTTTTTTTTTTTTTTTGTTGATTCAGTCAATCGCAATGTACAAAGAAATGTGATCTCAACTCATCCCAGAGCGCGATGCAAAAGAGACGCTCACCATCAGCCGTCACCTCAGCGGCCCGACGTTGCAAGTGACTGGAATCTGACAGAAACCAAACCCTGTCCTAAAGTGCTTACTTTCCAACGTTAGCGTTAGCCGCCAGATTAACACTGGGACGCTCGTGACAGATGACGGCTAACAACGGTAATAAAACTCCACAGCCATATGCGTCAAGCATCAACTCTCACTTTTTTGCGCTCGAGTGAAATCGTGGATTCTTCCAGAAGTGCTGTCACTACACATGTCTAACCTTTCCTCATAATTTTACTGGTTTGTGTGTGTAAGGACAGCAGGTTGGAGCATGCATTCTGGTCTCCTCACTCACAAAACCACGCTCCTGTATCAGCCAAAAATCACGTTGGTTATTGGATAGCATGACAGATCAGATCAGCCCAGATTCAGCTCAACTGGGAGTGCACAGGTTTGGACCTGCGGGATGGCTGCTACTGCGATTGAAAATAGTCCGTCATCAGGGATTTGTCATTAAATAAGTCTGTTTCAATTTAATCTATCTTTGCAGTGTTTGTTATGATGACAATTAGGACTATCATTGCTACTTTCCATTTGTTACCTCTGATGAAGTCCCTTACCGTGTTGGCAGCTTGTTTTGGGTCATGGTCTTCTTGCACCATGAAGCTTCTTCCAATTAGTTTGATGCATTTTTCTGTCAATTGCCAGACAATTAGAATGCATAACCAGTAAACTATTTGTGCCTTGTCCTGTGATATATATATATATATATATAACCAGTTAACTATTTGTGCCTTGTCCTGTGATATATATATTTTTACAATTTTAAATTCAGATTCTAGGTGTAAGATTATAATTCAGTGATAAAACATGTGATTTTTCTCTCGCAGGGACCAGCCTGGATCTGACCAAACCACTGCTGCTGCTCTTTTGAAGTCCAACCGCAAATTCTGCTGGTCCCGAGAAGCCCATTACTTGTATCTTCGACGCCTCTCATCGCGCAGCTTCTCGGCTATTATGATGGTATGTTTAGTGAAATGGGGCAAAATGTCGGTGCTGTGATTCAAACGAATGCTTGCCTCGGCCTTAAGTGTGTGCCAAGACCGCGCCCGTGAATCATGTTCACATTTTAGCTCCCATTCCTTATCAACCAACGATGTGAGCAATGTGTCACGTGAAAGCAAGCAGGAGGCTTCACTCAAATACTGCATATGTTCCCAATGTACATGATGTTGTTTTGTGCCTGGTAGTGGTATCATTTTGAACCAACAGGAAGGCCACGTGCCGTCATCATTTTCATGTATGACGCTCCGCTTCTTGTTTGCGTCCTCTATGAAAGCTTTTTTTATAATCCCATCAAATGACAGGCTAACAGATGTGTGCATTACTTTCTCCCCCCCCCTTTTTTTTTAAAACTATTTCCAAAAATAAACAAAGCCTCCGTTTTCTTTCAGATTTCCCAGACTTCTCTCCCTTTCTTTGAACATTTTGAACTCCTCTGTGGCCCCTCCTCCATGCAGGATGATAATTAACCCGAGAGGCATGCCTCCTCCTGGACAGTTTATTGTTTTAGCTAACTATGGTAATTATTGAGGCCAATAAAGCTGATCTGCATTCGAGTGGACCAATGGAATGCCTCTGCGTGGTGAATTGTTAAACTATGTTAATATCGCGCATAGTATTTGTTGTGGTATTGAGAGGAAAGGATTTGGTCTGTTTTAGGGCCAGGTGGCGTTTTGTGTGCTTAGCCTTGTGCTGCAGATAATACTGAAGTAATGAAACAAATGCATACAATGTCACAAAAAGGTTGAAGTGGGGCAGCTGCACACAATAATCTCTATTTTTCTCCAGACAAATACGTCATTGACTCATATAAAGTATCTTTGCATTTTTCACATAGCTCGGAAACTGGTCCACACATACCATTGTGTGCTGTTACTCAATGGCTCTTTGTTATTGTTTTTGCGCTGGAGTGAAATCGTGGATTCTTTCAGAAGTGCTGTCGCTACACATGTCTAACCTTTCCTCATAATTTGACTGGTTTTTGTGTGTAAGGACAGCAGGTTGGAGCATGCATTCTGGTCTCCTCACTCACAAAACCACGCTCCTGTATCAGCCAAAAATCACGTTGGTTATTGGATAGCATGACAGATCAGATCAGCCCAGATTCAGCTCAACTGGGAGTGCACAGGTTTGGACCTGCGGGATGGCTGCTACTGCGATTGAAAATAGTCCGTCATCAGGGATTTGTCATTAAATAAGTCTGTTTCAATTTAATCTTATCTTTGCAGTGTTTGTTATGATGACAATTAGGACTATCATTGCTACTTTCCATTTGTTACCTCTGATGAAGTCCCTTACCGTGTTGGCAGCTTGTTTTGGGTCATGGTCTTCTTGCACCATGAAGCTTCTTCCAATTAGTTTGATGCATTTTTCTGTCAATTGCCAGACAATTAGAATGTATAACCAGTTAACTATTTGTGCCTTTATATATATATATATATTTTTAAAAATTTTAAATTCAGATTCTAGGTGTAAGATTATAATTCAGAGTTATAAAACATGTGATTTTTCTCTCGCAGGGACCAGCCTGGATCTGACCAAACCACTGCTGCTGCTCTTTTGAAGTCCAACCGCAAATTCTGCTGGTCCCGAGAAGCCCATTACTTGTATCTTCGACGCCTCTCATCGCGCAGCTTCTCGGCTATTATGATGGTATGTTTAGTGAAATGGGGCAAAATGTCGGTGCTGTGATTCAAACGAATGCTTGCCTCGGCCTTAAGTGTGTGCCAAGACCGCGCCCGTGAATCATGTTCACATTTTAGCTCCCATTCCTTATCAACCAACGATGTGAGCAATGTGTCACGTGAAAGCAAGCAGGAGGCTTCACTCAAATACTGCATATGTTCCCAATGTACATGATGTTGTTTTGTGCCTGGTAGTGGTATCATTTTGAACCAACAGGAAGGCCACGTGCCGTCATCATTTTCATGTATGACGCTCCGCTTCTTGTTTGCGTCCTCTATGAAAGCTTTTTTTATAATCCCATCAAATGACAGGCTAACAGATGTGTGCATTACTTTCTCCCCCCCCCTTTTTTTTTAAAACTATTTCCAAAAATAAACAAAGCCTCCGTTTTCTTTCAGATTTCCCAGACTTCTCTCCCTTTCTTTGAACATTTTGAACTCCTCTGTGGCCCCTCCTCCATGCAGGATGATAATTAACCCGAGAGGCATGCCTCCTCCTGGACAGTTTATTGTTTTAGCTAACTATGGTAATTATTGAGGCCAATAAAGCTGATCTGCATTCGAGTGGACCAATGGAATGCCTCTGCGTGGTGAATTGTTAAACTATGTTAATATCGCGCATAGTATTTGTTGTGGTATTGAGAGGAAAGGATTTGGTCTGTTTTAGGGCCAGGTGGCGTTTTGTGTGCTTAGCCTTGTGCTGCAGATAATACTGAAGTAATGAAACAAATGCATACAATGTCACAAAAAGGTTGAAGTGGGGCAGCTGCACACAATAATCTCTATTTTTCTCCAGACAAATACGTCATTGACTCATATAAAGTATCTTTGCATTTTTCACATAGCTCGGAAACTGGTCCACACATACCATTGTGTGCTGTTACTCAATGGCTCTTTGTTATTGTTTGGCTCTGACCTGGGCAGAGAGTTTTGATGACCTTGACCATATCCAAACATTGTTGTCTTGATGTGGAACTTGGTTGTTCTTCGGCTCCTCATTCAGAAATGTTGTGCAGGGACGGACGGCTCCAGAATTTTTTTTCTTTTCCCTTCCGGGGCTAGATGGGGCTTGAAAGGTACTTTGGGGGGGTGCTGAGATTTTATAAATGTAATTTATTTATTTATTATCAGATAAAATGCTATGGCTTAACTGGGACTACACAGATTTTTTTTGGCCCGGTGTAGTGACATCCCTGGTCTTGTGACATACAATAAGTGAACTAAATCCCAATGAACCATTGGTCCAAAATGACACCATTGTGGAGGCGGTCACAGTAATGTTGATGAGCAATTAAATAATCTATTGCTCACTAAAGATGAAGTGAACGTACAAGATAATTTCCTGCATGTAGGCGCGTGGTTTGCTGTATTTACTGCTTGGTTGTGTTGCCTGTCTGGAAGGCTCACAGCAGGTTACCTCTCATATCAACGCGAATCTTGGACCGGTCCATCACGGTGGTATTTTTTCGTCACCACCTTGCACACTTTTTCATAGTTAAAACGTTTTTTCAGATTTTATGATAATCACCGCAATATATGTGAGATTACAGTAGGACAGCGATGCCAAACATCGCATTTAGTTAGCTGGCACACTGGACCATTAAGTTTTGATGTTGGTACGGCCCCCCCCTCGCTCGCTGCCATTTGGTATCATCTGTCCCGAGCCAAGCGTTCTCGGTGCTACTTTTTGCACGACTGAGAACTTTTTCCTCTCTTTAGTTGTTTTAATCGCAGCATGTAAGTCGGGAGGTGCGTTTTCTGCTTCCAGGACTGCAATCCGTTCGCCTTAGTCCGCGTCGAATTGTGCAGGAGTCTGCTCATTCGGAAATCTTGAGCCATTGCTAAGTGCGTGATGCCTGTGACCGCGTCGAATAGTGTCGGAGTCTGCTCATTCGGAAAATCTTGAGCCATTGCTAAGTGCGTGATGCCTGTGAACGGAGGGGGTCTGCTCTCCCTGGGCAGATATGCCACTCAATATTTCAGCGTAAGTACCGCATCTCTCTGTAGTGTTCGTTTTAGAGCACCGATCCCCGTGTATTTTTCCAAATAGCCATACTCGTAATGCATTACGCTAACGTTGTAATACGATGGGTCATCGGAAGGAAACGCAAAGTCATCCTGGGCGTTGTTGCACCTGCTGTGTACCGCATTCATGTTTTTCTGGGTACGTTAGTGTAAGGTCTACAGTCTGGGTATTTTTAAACGGTAACAACTTATTGCAGACGTTTCAGCATTTAGGTTGCGTTTCATCGCAGGTCATCTCAAAGAGCACGTCAGGTGATCGTCTGTTAAATGCTCAAGTGCAGTTTGTGTAAGCCGTCCTTGTATTTGTAGCTCCATGCAAACTAAACCTTACGTTCGACATTTCCAAGCGCGCAATGTTTTAGTTGTTTTTACTGACACGACTAGCATCCTTCTTTGCCCTACTCGGTCTCGCCAGCAAGGGGCAGCCTCGGACAATATTTTCGACACGTTTTTTTTTCCTGCACTCATTATGCAGTTGTTTAGAATTATTTTATATGAAATTGTGTTGCCCCCGTGTTACTTGAAGTCGTATTGACAGCGCTTGCTTGTACTTTGAGCTGATGACTTTGTTAATGTGAGAAAGCAAGAAGCCTAATTTGTGAGACATAGCCTCTCAAGAATTCATGCTCCTTGTTTTGAATGACTACATTTAGATTGAATAGGCTATGTAATAACAGTTATCCCATTTTCAAATAGATATCCATCATTCAGGTGTTTGTTGCCATGCCGCACTTGATATCAATGTCTACAAATATAGCCTGCTTTACTATTTCTGTCATCCATTTACTCAACCAGAGATTAGGACAGTCGATTTAATAGTGTTTGAAAGAAATGTTTTCCGCTCTGTTGTATGTGGTTTTGCAGATGGGCAGAATAAGCTCCTCTCTAATACTGTTTTGTATTTCAAAGGGTGACCCTGTACTCGGACACTACCCTCTACTTCCCCCTCATTGGGGGAAATTGTTGTTATATAATGGCCTAAACTCGGGAAACTACTGCTTATCCTGCAAGCCAGCCTGCTAGCAGCCAACACAAACATTTCACATCATTGTAGAAGTGTGTCTGATTGAACCATTTGCCAAAAGCTTTTGGGCTGCCTGCTGCTTTTTCACCCGAACGTCCATCTTGTACTTTCTTGTTGCTGCTTCGGATTGAATTCCATTGCATTTGTTTTGTGGACCCTGTGTTTCTTTCACGGCCTCTTGTTTTTGCAACACAAATGTTTGTGTGTTGTTTCTTTGTTTATTGAACATATAAACAAGTAACAGAAAATATTGCAATTGAAAGCAAAAAAAAACCAAAACAAAACAACTGAAGTGAAAGCAAATAAATAGTCTTTGTTAAGCGCAGTTCAAAAAAGAGTAGGAGGATGATGGTCAAAATAAAACACTCATTAGTTTATGTTTTGAAGTCTTTTGGAAAATGTTTTTTTTAATAATAATAGTTTTAAGTGTGTTAAAATCACTGAAACTTTTGACCTTAATTCAAATTTCCTGAATGCCAGGGTGGCGCAACCATAAATGGTGGACTTTTGTTTTAAAGTAAAGTAACAATGGAATGTAAACAAGATGTTGCATCTGCAAGAGGATTCCAAGTAACCCCTGGAGTGAAGCTAACATTTTTGTATGTTGTCAAATACCGATGAAAACAACTACTTTCAACTCATGTAGTCTGGTACATTTTCCATGTACAACCAATGTATAACGACACAACAACAACAAAACAACAGTTTTTTTAAGCAGTCTATTTGAACTTCTCAACAAGGGTAGAAGCTAATGCGAGCATCCAAAAAGAAGCCTGTTCAATTTGAGATGAGTTGCAGTAGTTGTTGTTTCTTGTTTTAATTGATGACTGCAACTATATAACGGCAGGAAATAAAGTTTCATCTCTGTCATTCGCATGGTCTGCACAGTTTCCCCGCTGCTGTTTGTTCCCTTGTTGGCCAAATGATCAGAAAAGTGGGTCATGATGAGGGTTAATGCCAAGTCCGATAATGTCACTGAACACGTTTCTTTGAAGGCGACTTTTTTTTTTTTTTTTTTTGTAACCCCACTCTCTTGCTTCCAACTCCATGTTGTCATTCTGTCAAGTGTCGGTGGTCTCCAGAAAAAAAAAAATGGAACAACAAATCACACTGAGGAAATGCTGGTTTGTTGTTGGGACGCTCGATGCACAGTCAGAAGGTTAATCACCGCCCACCATCCAGGCCAACGTCGGTTGGTCTGTGTGTTTACCCTGCCGACCAACACTGGGATTTGTGCTGAATGTAGGCCAGCAGAATCACGCTTACGTCAAAGGCAGGCAGGCAGATGCAGGGAGAGAGCAGCTGGTGGTTGTGCAGCTGTGGCCAAGGAGGAGTCTGTGGCGCACATCGTTTTGCCAGAGCACCGCTGGCGGTGATCAGGGCAAGACACCGATAGGAAGAGGAGGAGAGTGCCAGAAATGAAGACTGTCCTCAGCCTGCACAGGAAATGGGCCCACGCGGTCAAAACCATACGTATCCTGCAGGGACTCGTGAGTGTTTTGACTCAATTGGCTAACTTTTTCGATCAGTTGTCGCTCAGTGCCAGTCTTTTGGTTATGGCTACAAATGAATTCATGCGACGTTGAATACTACCGTAGAGTAGTTCAGTTAATAATAGAACAGTGTCACCTTTTTACATCAAATGATTGATTTTGATATTTTCAAACATATCTTAGAAGTGGTTTGCAAAAGGTCAAATCCCATGGCGGTTGCTGTGATTTTTTTTTCTTTTTCACCAAAGGTGCACACATGCAATTATATGGCGTTGTGAATGCTTGAAATTGTCATTTTTAATGATGGCAAAGAGATTATATGATGCGTAAGAGACAACATAGTGACGTGTGCTCCAATTACAGATGCCCAGCTGCTCAAAAATAATGCTGTTTTTGTGTGTACTCACAACATTTAATAGATAATTATTTGTCCTCCCATTCATTATCGTTGTTCTTAAGAAACACCTTTGAGCATTTGCATCAACAAACATTGTCATGGACTCCAAAAAAAAAAAAAAAAAAAAAGAACCAAACCAGAGAGTAGCCAAACAATCTTGAGTCATATCACCATTTTAAAGTCAGCCCTGCTCCAGTCTGCAATTGTCATTGTTTTAAGAGCTTGTGGTTGTGTAACGACGGCACAGACTAATGACGTGCCTTTGTCATGACATCCCGTATTTCATTATTAAACAGTACAGTGACATGAAATCACCGATGGTAATCTTGCCTTCCTCTTTCCAGAACCCGGTTATGGAGGAGACGGTCTGGGAGCAGTACACAGTGACCCTGCAGAGGGTGAGTCCGTCACGAGTTCTTCTCGTTCTTTTAATGAACATTTCGACACAGACTGCTGCTGCCTGTTGGGATTCACAGAGAGCAGACAATTCAAACTGACATGCTCTGGTTAGCCAACAAACAGATGTGTGTGTGTGTGTGTGTGTGTGTGTGTGTGTGTGTGTGTGTGTGTGTGTGTGTGTGTGTGTGTGTGTGTGCGTGCGTGCGTGCGTGCGCGTGCGGGCGTGCGTGCGTGCGTGCGTGCGTGCGTGCGTGCGTGCGTGCGTGTGTGTGTATACCCTGCCTACAGATGTAAGAGACATCTCTTTTAATCGGGCGACAATTAATCATTCTGCATGCATCCATTTTCTAAACTGCATGTTCTCATGAGGGTCGTGGGTGTGCCGGAGCCTATCCAAGCTGAGTTCAAGCAAGAGGCTGGCTGCATCTTGGACTGGTCGCCAGCCAGTCGCAGCACACACCAAGAGAAACAAGCATTCATGCTCCCTGACATTTTTAAGCAAGGGTGGGCAGTTCGTCTGACCAATGCGCCACGTGACAAACCACAGCAGTTGTTGCGAGCCCAACGAACATCTTAACCTCAGTCGTGTGCCAATTTCAACGTAACACTGTATATTTGTATACAGCAGTAAATGATATTGTTTGGCTGCTACTTGTTTCGCAATGATAGGTCAGGGTGTTTCCTGGTTCAAATTGAGGCAGAGGTGGTACCATCCTGACCATGCGCCGTGATGTGCATGCATTCTATAAATTCAATGCACTCACTTTCCTTTACAGGACACAGACTTTAAATTAAGAGTTCCAATAAGAATATGACTCTTATGTTAAAGCATTCGTTTATTAAAACTGCATAGGAGAATGATGAACTCATTTTTGTGTGGTGGGACCGCTTTTGTTAGAGAGAGATAGAGATTGTTTGCAGCTGTTTATTGACAAATAGTTGACGACATTTCAGGTTTTCATTTTTCTACAATATGCAGTCATGAATGTACCTGTGTTGTTGCTCAAAGTTGAAATAGTTTGTGAAATCATGATGCTATGTGCTGTTTAAATGACAAATTATAGACACTGCAAACAGACTATTTTTAGACCAGCAATGAACATCTGACTCATAACCATGTGTCCCTTGGGAGCTTTTTTTATTTATTTAATTTTTTTTCGGTAAGTGTTCAACAGACCCGTTTTTTTCCTCTCATGCCTCCTCTTGTGCACTCTTGAGATATATTTGTTTTGTTTTTGTAAACAACACTACTAGTGCTGTGTTATACTGTACGGACAAAATTTTACATCCCAGTTTAGACCAATTGATATCCTGATAATGATGTACAATTATGGGGGGGGGAAAGGGTTCAGACCAGCTTGTTTTCTTCCATTTTTTTATTCATATCTGCCTCAAAGGTTCGCAGGCATAATTTTTCCACATCAACTCACATCACTGCAATCACCGGCACCAATTCATGTAGAAATAAGTGGATGCAATGGTGGCAAGCCAGCAGGAAATGAGTCCGGAAAAGAAAGAGAATGTGCAAAGTTTGGAATAATTTTACCCTTGAGATAATAAATTACAATGTGTACTACAGCAGCACATCTATGATCACAAGCACAAGGAAAGGTATCATAGCTAACTCATTTAATATAGCCTACCACTACTAGGAGGAAAGTATTGGCCATTCACGAGAAAACAAACATTCTAATTGAATTTTTTTACACCAGCTGCCGAAGGCCACTGACTAACTGGTTAGCCAGCTAACAGCAAGCTGACGCTACACTCTCATTCACCGGCATCCATGTCACTCACCAGGCCAGGCCCTGCGTTTAAATCCTTGCTCACAAAAAAATCACAGATACTACAGTAAAACTTGGACCTCACGTGCAAATATTACCGTGATTAATCATGTGATTCTTAATTTTTACCTGATTACTTGATAACGGGGATCATCGGTAGAATACTTGATTCTGAAAACAGTTGATAGCCGCAGGCCTAATTTTGCTATGTGTTCAGTTTTTATGTACAGTATAGCGCTTTGTTTGAGCTGTGCTTGTTTTTTCAGGTGTTCTATGAATCAAATTAGTTTGAATTAGCGTAGCAACAGAGCTACCCCAACACCCCACACCCAATTAAAAAAAAAAAAACAGTACATGCGATGGAGCGTTTTAGTAATTGTAATTGTAGTGTAAGCACTGTATTTGATGTTTGACTCAGATAAACGTTTATCCAACAAGTAATTAACCAGCCACAAGGTCAATTTGTCATTTATTGTTGAACGTACTGTGAGAGCACAGCAAACCAGTCGAGCTTCGTTAATCATCACGATGAGCCCATTGTCTTGTGCTACAGTTCATCGTAGCCAGAAAAGCAGATTGAGTGGGTTGAAAAAAAGTCCTCTCCTAAAGGCATTTGACCTCCAACGCTTAACCCATCCACAGCCATCTGTCACACTCTGTTCCCGACACCTACTTTTATTCTCTTCCACCACGTGTTAAGTAAGTCTCTTTGGGGGGAAACACCCAAGTCAACCCATGCAAGAGGTGCAGATTCTCCTGTCAAACAATTGCAAAAGGAAATGGTGAAAAGGGGGATCCTGCACAGGTTAATATTAACAGATTCAGTGCCAACAGTAGGCGTGGCATCTGGGGAGTCAAGGAATTTAGCGCAGGTGACAGCTGCCGCCCTGTAAAACCACCTGTGGTGTGTACCCCAAAGACCAATGCGTTTCGTTCTACCGGACACAGATTAGAGCACAGCCACACAGATCTCACACACACACACACACACACACACACACACACACACACACGCACGCCATTAAAATGTATTTCTTGATTCTCAATCTGACAACCAACCATTCTCGTATGTAAATCTGCTGTACTCTATCAGCAAAAAGAAGCCTTCTTCATTTTGTGTCGGTCTGTTCACTTCCATCCTCCCGCTGTCAGCGTTGGCCATCTGCTCAAGACAGAGGGAATTGAATGAATAGAGTGCTTTTGTGTACAGATGGAAGGGATAAAGAGAAAGGGTTTGACAAATCTCTGAACTAATCTCATCAGCGCAATCAGGAACAGTGGCAGGTAGACTGTTTGGAAGCCGAACCACGGCGAAAGGCCTTTGCCGTTTGGTTTGCTCGCACCTTTCCCTTTCCTTTTCCGCACTTTGTAACAACGAATATTCAGATTAGCAGGGTTTTTAATCACAGATGCACAGAACAACAGCAGCTCTGAACTGCATATGTGACAGCAATGCTCACGAATGTAATTACATGGCCAAAAATCCCTTTTAAATTCCCTCACAATGACATGCAGCCCCCGATAATACAGCGGGAGCTGAAACACACCGTAAGGATTACTGATCTGCTTTTTCGCTCACACTCTGACTCGCACACACACACGCAGATAGGATACATTCAACCTCTGCTGGATGACCATGTCGAATTTTCTTGTTTCTCAGGATCCAAAGATGGGTTTTGGCATCGCTGTATCAGGAGGGCGAGACAACCCAAATGAGGATAGTGGCGAGACATCCATTGTGGTGTCTGACGTCCTTCAGGGAGGACCGGCCGAAGGCTTGTTGTTGTGCGTATTGCCATTTTCTTAAGAACATGTCAATTGTATTCTTTTTTTTTTTTTTTTCGCTATTCATGTTCAAGCACAGTCTCTGTTTCTCATAAATAATGGGAGTCCTCTGTCAAGTATAAATGGACAAATTGCATCCTGTATACCACGTCAATGTGAGTCTGACGTCATCAAACATACTGATTGGTGACGCGTCCGCACCCGCGTCTGCCCGAATAACTCAAACTTATTAAAACACATGCTGTAAATCCAAATTCTAAATTGTAATTGGTCTGCAGTGTACATTAATTCCAGGCTTTGAAAGGCTGTCAGCCATGATACACATACTGTAAACTTTCTGCAAGGGGAAATCATACAGTATCTGGTTATCGATTCGTCAGTCATCAAACAACTCATTTATTCACTCACTAAAACCTGCTCAAAATGATAATTGTGCTGCAAACAAGTTGGCAAAGTTTTGATTATCGCTGCCTCCTCCCTGGCTGCTGACTGTCAAGGGCATTATCGATCGCCGCAGAAACAATCGATAAGGGTGTCCCACATTCTCACTTGGAGACAAAAATCAGATGCTTCACAGCAGGAACAACAAGCGCAGACCTGCCGAATCCTCCATTGTGATCAAATTGATGAGTCATACATAGGTGGGACTTTGCAAGATGGCTAAAATTGAATACCTCAATATTTTTGCCAGATACGGTCACGATATTAATTTGGGTTCAGTGAAAACGATGCATTTTTTTAAACTTACTGACAGCCATCAACATGAACAAAGTCAAGTTGATGACATAACTCAACTTGGCTTATCTGACTCTCATTTTTGTGTTGTTTCTTAATACTGTATTGACTCACATTTTGCACTACTCTGGTACATAAAAGAGAGTATTCCATGACGAACGTTTCACTCCTCCTTTTCATGTCTCTATTATGTTTAGTGAGAATGACAGAGTGGTGCAGGTGAACGCCATACCCATGGAGGGGGTCATTCATTCCTTCGCCGTTCAAACCCTCAGAAAGTGTGGAAAAGTTGCCAAAATCGTAAGTTAAGCATTTGTTTCGTTTGAATATATCCCCAATTTACCCCCTCAAGTTTTTAGTATTGATCTTGAAGGAAATTGGATTACCATTTATCAATGAACTGAAAACAGTTTCATTTCCCATTCTAGACATAATCCCCCCCCAGCCCCTGTTGGTTTATTTACTTCTTACATTTTCAAACAGCATGTTTGGTGGTTAGTGCAGGAAGCAAAACATTTCCTACTCATAATTTTGATTTGAAACCTTTTGTGTGAACTACCAGACCGTCAAGAGACCGAGAAAGGTTCCTGTAAATCTGCTGAATCGTCCTGGATCACCCGATGATAGAGTTTTCAACAGTGACTACAACGAAGACTACAACTACGACCAGGACCGTGGCAGTGTGTACAATAACAGGCAGGACCACAGCCTGGAAAGGGATCAAGGTGGCTACATGGATTCTGGCTACCAAACCCGTGAGCGTGACTATGACAGGAACTATGACCGACGAGAACGGGGCAGGAGTGCGGAGAGAGACCGGAGCCCCGACCAGCAATACAGGAGAGACGGTAGCAGAGGTCGCACCTTAGACAGAGAACGTAGCCCCGATCGTCATCACAGGAGCGATCACGCGCTCAACCGTGACTATAGCCCGGACAGAAGGTACCGTAGCGAGCGCACGTTGGACCGAGACCACAGTCCCGATCGGCGCTACCGCAGCGATCGAGCCCTCGACCGGGACTATAGCCCTGACCGACGCTATCGTAGTGACCGTGCGCTAAACCGCGGAAACAGCCCCGACCAGCGCTACCGGCGGGACAGTGAGAGCCCGGGACGCAACCACGGACGCCACCGCAGCTTTGAGCGAGGGCGAGAACGAATTCCCAGCGACCCGAGGAAATATGAGGAGCCTCCGAAGAGAGGTGCTAGCAAGGACCGGCTGGAGCGTTCACCGTCGCCTGCGGCCATGCCCATCCCGATGCCACGTCCCGCTCGAGAATTGGAGCCACTCGAGAAACCTCTAAATGTCCTGCTGCTGAAGAATCGGCCTAACGAAGGTGAGACACACGAATGCATTGTTGAAGCGTTTTTTTTTTTTTTTTTTTTAATGCATGCTGTATGCAGTCATTGACGTTAACCTGTTTTGAACTTTGTTTTTATGTATAAATCAACAGAGATGCTTATTTTGTTTCAGAGTACGGCCTTCGTCTGGGAAGTCAGCTCTTCATTAAAGAGATGACCAGCACGGGGCTTGCCAGCAGGGATGGAAACCTACAAGAAGGAGACATCATTCTCAAGGTGCCAAAGCAAACAAATGAAGGATTTCTTGTTTTAGCAATGTCATCATGATCGTATAAACCTACAAGGCTCATACATTTGTCATATACCTCCACCAAGGTTAAACTTGCGTTTTTATTTACGTTTTACACACTGTCCCAGTTACATTGGAATTGGGGATTGTTACAAGTGTGTGAATCTTATTTCGACCGACAGATCAATGGAACAGCGACCGAAAACCTGTCCCTCAGCGACGCAGGGAAGCTGATCGAGAAGTCTCGCGGGAAGCTGCAGCTGGTGGTCCAGAGAGACAGGCAGCAAGTGCTGATCCGAGTCCCCCCGATGGTCGACAGCGACTCGGAGCTTGATGGTGAGAGACCCTTGAAACTGAAAAGCAGCAGGTCCTATCCGGTGTAGAACAAACGTGGCGGTCGTCGCCACGTCTAAACCCCGACATATCAACTACACGAGAATCAAATGTGGAAACGTTGCATCTGTTGATGTTTTGTATTTGTCCATTAATCCTGTTTTTTCCATCATTGAATAAAAGTTTGACTTTCACATCAGTTCACTGTATAGTATTCTTTACCTTTTCACAAAGCAGAAACAAGCCATTCTCATATCTCCACCTTTGAGACAATTCTCTCTTATACCGAGTTGAAATGTCACGTGACCTCAAACTGTGCTGTGATTGGTCCAATCCAACCTAGATAAATGGTGTGAATGGATGTTTTTGCTCACCAAACAGCTGCAGGGAGAGGGGGGAGGAGGATAGCCAGAGGACCTGTGACCCACTTTGTCTGTTTTTGGGACTGTGTGACGATGTGTTTGTGTGTATGTGAAGGTTCTCACCCGCTGGCAGGGTGAACTAATCCACCGCCATAATCCCGCTATTGGATATGAGAAAATTTCATCATGTGAGGGTTCACACCATAGCGGTCATGTAGCTTCTTGCTTTGAAAATCTCCAGGTGCTTATTGTGTGTTTGTTTGTGTCGGCTGTGTGTATTAACGTGTAGGTCTGCGTGCATCATTTTTGATCCTAAAAAATTCGACTCAAAGTGCATCCATGAATAGTCTTGCTGTGCCCTTCTATTAACCTTCTCAGAAATGCAATCAGATATTTATTTTTTTACATTTACAATCACAATTTTGTGGCGATAATTAAACACCTATGTAAAGCATGTCGTTTGTATTTGATATTTTTCTTCCATGACCCTGTTGGCTAAGTCATTGAATGAAGACAACACCAAATAACTTTTGGGAGACATAGAGTTGTCAAGTTGTGTGTGTCTGTATTTTGCAGATATTTCTGAGATTGAGTCATATCGCTCCTACTCACCACAAGATGAAAGACGAGGCCACCATTCGGACCTGTCGTCCCACTCCTCCACTGAGCGGCTGCGAGAGAAGCCAAGGTGCAGTATGCCTATCAGTACATCAGGTCTCCTTGAAAGGTTTAGGACAACGGAATCATAATTATATATAATAATTGTCGGCCAATGTTATATGGAGTAATTTACTCAACTCATTCTGCCTTAATATCTTTTGAAGTACTGTATTGGTATTGGTATCAAAAGAAATGAAGCTAGCATCGCAAAGTTGCCTGAACTTATATCACTGAGTTTGTAAAAGCAGCACAAAAATAAGATGCTGTACTGATTTGTCAATGTTTCGAGAGCATATGCCTAAGTGCTATCTATGCCTGCGCTGTATTGATGATTCTAAATGTGGACCACCTTTCACCCGTAAAACCAATAATTGATTTCCTTTGTTCCTAGAGAGGAGCCGCCTAATAGGCTGGTTAAAATGGGTGCGATGCCAACCCCATTCAAAGGTCTTGAGCGAGCTGTGGAAGACACACCCCCATTGCCTCCTGAGAGGGAGGAGTCGCGGGCACAAACGCCACCAAGTAACCTTTTTTAAAAACAATTTTTTAAACTTTCCAATATTCAAAATACAAAGTTACGCACATCATTCGCATGAGAAATTCACATGTTATTGTTGTGCTTCTGCGCCGCAAGCAATCGCAGTTGGCCCAAAGGTTCACGCTCCTCCTAAAGTGCCACTAAAGCCAAGTGTTGAGGACCAGGAAGTATACGGGTCAGTAGTATGTCATGTTTAGGTGACTGCGATGGACCGTCATGGTCACATTCATCCAGCAAGAGTTCTATTTGATAAGAAATGGATATTTCTTGTTTGCATCTTGCAGGCCAAACACGCTCATGGTCCGCTTTCAGAAAGGTGACAGCGTTGGTATGAGGCTTGCAGGAGGGAATGATGTCGGGATCTTTATTGCGGGCGTTCAGGAAGATAGTGCAGCTGAACAGGAAGGTCTTCGCACTGGGGATCAGCTTGTGAAGGTGAGATTTGCTTTATTCTGCATTCAGAACATGACAAGATGAAATCCATTGTCAAATACTCTAATATAAGGAGAGAAAAAAAATCAGTCAAAACATTATGATTAATGTGTAAGAACCAACATCACAATTCATCGTTGAAATGGTAAAACAACAAAGCTAGGTCGGTCACTTGCATTATAAATAAGTGCCCTCACAACACTTCGTTTTATGATCTTGCAATTTATGTTCCAGGTGAACAACGTGGACTTTAGGGGTATGGTCCGTGAGGAGGCAGTCCTTTACCTCCTGGAGATTCCCAAAGGAGATGATGTGACCATTCTTGCACAGAGCAAACCAGAAGGTATCAGTGTGTCAAGTATCTCTGAATTAGCTGACATAGTCGCGCTTAAGAGGACATGAAGTCACACTTCTGTTTATTGGTATTAGAGAAAGAGAGAGGAGAGAAGATAGATCTCTCTCTCTCTCTCTCTCTGTCTCTCGCATACTGAGGAAAGAGGTTCGTCAGGAATCGAACCCTGTGATACAGCACGCATACAGAACTAGAATTTATTTTATGGCAACTTATTTTATTGAGTTTTATGCCTTTGCCATCAATGTATAAGCCCCAAATTACATCATTCTTTCTCTTTGTTTTTTTTTCCCAGTGTACAAAGACATTTTAGCATCTGGCAGAGGCGACTCATTCTTCATTAGAACTCACTTTGAGTATGAGAAAGAGGCTCCCCAGAGCCTTCCTTTCACCAGAGGAGAAATTTTCAAAGTGACCGACACACTCTACGATGGCAAGCTGGGCAACTGGCTGGCAGTCCGTACAAACAAAGAAAACCAGTTGCTGGAGAAGGGCATCATTCCCAATAAAAGCAGGTCTGTATATTCTTGCGCAATCCGTCAAAATGGATCGTTCGTTCTCGTGGGAGCCGCTCGCCTCAAATAAAATTGAAGTTCAATTTGTTCCCGTGTCGGCTCGAGAGATGACCCCGTTCGTTCCAAATAAATGAAGGTGGCTAAAGCGCTTTAGTTTTCCATCACAGAGCCGAGCAAATGTCCAACGTCCAGAATGCTGCACGAGCCGCATCAGGTAACGACAGAGGAGACTTCTGGAGGCTTCGAGGACAAAGAGCAGCGAAGAAAAAAGATATTCGCAAGAGTCGAGAGGATCTGAGTGCAGCGCCGGTGGCTACGAGATTTCCGGCCTATGAGAGAGTTGTCCTGCGTGAAGGTACCCTAATACTGGCCTCGATTGAAACGAAGAGGAATGTTGTTGCTCCACGGTGAGATTCTTGACGGTCTTTGACCAAAGGCTTCTTGTTTTTCAGCTGGCTTCAAGAGACCCGTGGTCCTATTTGGGCCGATCTCTGATGCTGTGAATGAAAAACTGGCCAATGACATGCCAAACGACTTCGTCATTGCTAGTAAGTGTTGACGTTTTTTACAGAGTTAGTCTTACAACATCAGGACCCCGTTCTGCACTGTGAGTTGATCTTTCTTATTCAAGAAACGGAGCCAAAGGATGCGGGAAGCGAGAAATCGTCTGGAGTTGTGAGACTGAACACGATTCGGCAAATTATCGAGCAGGTACGGTATTCCGTAAAATGCAGCTTCGTAATGTTGATCCACTTTCTAACGTTGGACATTTCCCCCCAAGAACGCCCACGCGCTGCTGGATGTGACTCCCAAAGCTGTCGACACCTTGAACTACACCCAGTGGTATCCCATCGTCATTTTCCTGAATCCGGACAGCAAGCAGGGAGTCAAGACCATGAGGAACCGCCTCTTGCCCGGATCCACCCGCAGTGCACGCAAACTATATGAGCAGGCGATCAAGCTGAGAAAGACATGCTCGCACCTTTTCACCGGTACGCTTTATCGCTCAGAGCCTTCATCTGTTGCGATTGTATTTGAGATGATGAGAGCTGTGTCACTGGCTGAATGTTGTACGTTAAGACCCAAGACGCACTGCAAGGGCGCAAATCGACTCACCAACATTCGTTAAAGTTAATGATTCTGAGTGGAGATTGCATTGCTTGAATTCATCTCACCATGATGTTCTCCTAAAGGGTGTTTTGAAGGTCTGCCCCCCATAAAGAGCAAAAAAAAAAGTAGCGCGCTTGCATTTTGTCAGTAGTATGCTTGCGTGCCTCTTCAATCTGACATCCCTCTTTGCATGCCTGCATATGTG